ATTGACCAGCATGTCAACATCGGGTCAACAAAAAATGTTTTAGGGGAAAGATGAAGTAGCTTCTTGTCTCAGAAAAAAGTTGTACAATACTGGGTACAGGAAAAGGATGTCATTTTTTACAGTGAAAATTTCTACAGTATTTTTAGAAGTTATATATAAATGATGGATAGTGGCTAGAAGTGGAATCCAAGACGGGTATTCTTTCTTGTTCAGAACTCATCAGCTGGATGTACGTGCTTCCCAGCGAGCGATATTCTTCCTACTAGGACTCGAACCCGGGAACGGTCGCTTCAAATGCCAGAACAACAACATTATTTTTAGGGTTGTATAGAACTAATTTTTCATGGGAAATTAAAAATTAATGCATGAAACGGTAAGAATAAGGAGAATATTGAAGCAATGAAGAGGTTCAGATGTAGATCATGATGAGAGTAGAATGAAAAGTTGAAGGTATCACCGCTCAATATACAAACGAAGCTGTAATTTTTAGACTATCAGCAAATCTGTTACATACAGTGATCAGTATGTATCTTGAGATGTTCTATTTAACTTTATGAGTGAACTTCAAAATGAACTTTAATGAAGTGACAGGATCTCAGCTGAACAAATGACAAAGGGTAAGTCTTTTGGCTGACATCCTGTAGTCTGGACAGTCAAGTAAAAGATACGTTCCGAAAGATTTCGTTCCGTGTAATTCAAATAAATTTCTAAACAAACTATTTTTCTTAATCTGGCCCTAACCTATCAACCAGTAACAAATTTACTTGTCTGCTATAAGTACAACTGTATTACTGAAACTTTTAAAAACTGTTTTATTACTTGAGTTACATTTCACACTAATCATACTTTACAAGATCATTTTCGTCCACTTGTTCAGAGCACAAAATATAAAAATTTCGCTTTCCAGGACATGCATGTATATGAGTTTTGTCTGAAGTATGAGAATACTGAAACTTGACAAACTACAATTTATTTATCTATTTTATTTAATGAAACATTTTTGTTTATTTTCTGTTACCTTTTATTTATAAAGCAAGTCAAGATTTAAGTTTTAATTTACTTTGACCTTATAACTACTAACCTGAAAGTATGCTAAAGTAATTCAAATGTTGAACACATTGAACAAAATGCTTTGTATGCATAGGTGAAGCTAACCATACAGCATGCAACATAACATAAAGAAAATGTCACCATACTTATTTCGAATAGAAAATATCATGTTCACTAGAAAGTATTCATTTACAGATTTATGCGATCGTATTCAGTGTCACCCTTATGCTCAGTGTAAAAATGGACAGTGTCATTGTAATCAAGGTTATACTGGTGATGGGTATTATGATTGTCATATTAGAGGTAAGGTTTGTGATTGTAAACAGCAAAATACGTTGTACTATGAATACATGATATATAATACATGACATAATAATAAGTTATAAATACATGATGTAATTAAAACTTGACGGAAACTGTTTTCGTATTAATTTAAAGCTACAATGAAAAGTGTTAATCATTTTGACTACCTGAGATAGCCGAGGTATGGCAAACTAGTATTTATACTGGCTGAAGACTGAAGATGGAATGGAAATTTGAACCACAGCCGGGCTCAAACCAGCGATCACAGAGTTTCCGACCCGATGCTCTACCAACTGAGATACGAGGCCCAACTTCAACCAACCAGCCAGTGTGAATATGATCAAGAAATAGTAATGTGTCACAAATTCACATGGTAGTCGGGCAAAATCAATGGTGACTGTAGTAAAATAAAATCTGATCCGTAGGTGAATCTCGTAGCTCAGTCTGTAGAGCATCGGGTAGGAAACCCGATAGTCGCTGATTCGAATTCGACCGCGATGGAAAACTTCATTTCACCTTCAATCATCACCCAGCATGAAAAATGTTAAAGTGAGTGATATTCAGCTTTTACATCTGATTTATTCCCACCTACTACCTCAAAAATACGCAGACAAACATATCATGGTGAAATTGTTCACATAGATACTCATTTTCAAATCAGGTAAATTTAAAAAGTAAACAAACGTTTAACTTATTAAAAGAAGTAAAGATATTTATTTGATTAGTTTTTCCTTTAAATGAACTATAATATTTTTGGAAAAACACCACAAATTATGGTATTATTGCACAAAACGTGGCTATCTTGGCATGGTGGTCTAGTGGACAACGCTCTGGCGTTTGAAGCCATTAGTCCCGAGTCCGAATTCAGGCGGGAACAACATCACCCACTGGAAAGCAGGTACATCCAGCTGACGAATCCCAAATAGGACGAAATGCACATCCTGGATTCCACTGCTAGCCAATATCTATCGCCACAACAAATTAGGGTTTATGTAAGCTAAAAGAATAAATATTGTTCTTATGAAATGAGATTGCTACCATATTCAAGTCGCCTTTCATGAATTGATCTTAGTCACTGGGAACTGCTGCTCCATATCTGTAGTGCAGCATAAATGTATTGATGTTCACTTCCTTCGTGGATGTCATTACTGCTTTCCTTCTCATCAGTTGCTTGCACTCCAGATCCACTTAACTCCTCTGTTCTGTATGTATAGCTTGTCATAACTTTTGACGTTATGACCATACATAACTAAATTCTAACCTATACTACGTGAAATGGGATGGATTTTGCTGTAGTTAAATTTGTACCTTGATTAAAAATTCTGATATCTGCGTTATCAGTATATAAAAGAATATCTCCAAATGTTTTCTCTGGTGAAGTGATCAAACTTTGGAAATAACTTAAAATACTCTATTTCACCGAAAGTTATTCATATTCACTGAATGATTCATAAAATAAACTTTTAGAAAAAGCTTGTGAACATATCTTTCCACTCCGATTACCTAGTAAACTGAATTGGAACAACCATATGTCTTTTCTGTGCATAGAATCCTGTAAACAAATATACGAAGTCAGTTTACAAACGTTAATCCGAAGCATAAAATTTAGTTCTTGACATAGTGAGACTGACAGCTATACATCGAGTTACTGTGTACAGCTAAACTAAGCAGTAAAAATTATCTGAAGTGACACAAAGCTCCTCATGAAGTGAGTCTGTAAACACTGATATTCGGTTTCCTAGCTCGGTATCGTGTAGTCAGTTTGTTTCGACATATATCCTAAAACACATACTTTGGTCGACCATTTTATTAGGTAGAATATGCATCGCTGACAAGTAAATATTCAACTAAACTAGCTTTTTCTCTAAACACTACTGAAGAACTTACAGTAATACTGTAACTTAGCATAAAACATACTAATTACATTAGACACTAGAAGATTTTGAAAGGAATGTTTAGGTCATGTAGTCCCTAAATTGTTTGACCCATTTTACGGTAGCAATCCATTCATTTGTTGTATCTATTGAAAATAATGGCTTACTCTCCATTGTTATGTACTTGTCTTGCAGTTACTACTTGTACCAACTGAATTCTTAAACATATACTTGAAAGTTGTATAAGTAGAACATATCGTTAGACATATGCAATCATTTTCAAAATCATAGCTGCCTATTTTTCTTTTAATCAGTTTGAAAACTACATTTGGTCTAAATCGTGGTTCATCAGTTCGTATACTAAGTCTTTCCTAACATATGCGATTACTGATCGAAGAAATAACAACGAAATATGTTTCTTGTTCTGAGATTCACAGCTCTCTGTGGTTGATATGAGAATTCAGCATTGCATCAAAAACGCCCACACTGGCGGTAGTCTCCAAAATCAAGAAAACGAAATCACATAACAGATACTTATATACATATACATATATATAAATATATATAATATTTACAGAGGAGACAATTTTGTGAAAACAAGGTGAAGCAGAAAAATGATGTTTTCATGTTTCACTACCTCACGAATGCCGTCGCTTCGGAAAATGAAACTTGCACAACCTTTGTTCCCCGTAGAACCGGCTTCCATGAGTTTCTAGGAGGTTACATGAGATTATAAAAAATAGATACAATATCTCCTATGTAGGTGGACTTGTGTTTTTTTTCAAAGATTCATCAAAGTATTTTATTAGGAATTCATGTCTGTTTGTGTATGAGCATTGAGATAATTGCTTTGAACTATTACATGCTTAGAGTTTATGTTGTGGCGAATGTTTTTCATATCATTCATTTGCAGTAGTCTGAGCCACTTCAAAATATAAATTCATTTTACATAGTGTCAGAAACTTGATTAAAACTCTTCACATTCAAGACAGTGGTTAAATGAAGCATCCCTTATATTGATCTTGGTGACTAGCCGAAGAATCTAGGACGAGCGTTTCGTCCTATTTGAGACGTCTGCTAGATGTCCCTGCACTCCAGTGAGTGATGCTGTTCCCACCGAGGCTCAAACCCAGTACCCTTCAATTCAAGCTCCAGAGTGTTATCCACTAAGCCAGTGGTGCACGATAACCGCCTCTTGTGCAACGGATGTCAACTGTTATAGTGATAGTTGCTATTTCCCGTTGCTATACAGGTAGACCAATGAATTCGAACCATCCAATAGAATATCTAAGAACTAACTTTCTAACAAAGCCGACAAATATGACTTTTAGGTTAGACAGCAAATTTTCTGCTAGCAACTGCTCACCCAGTAATGTGAAAAAAACTTCAATCAAAGAATTTCCCTAAGCTGCAAAATGACCACTGTGGAATTTTCAAGTAATAGATTATAGGCTACAAGCTTTGGAAGCCTAAAGTGTCTAGATTTTACTTTTCAGAGAAATTCAAGGTAAATATCAAAAGTTTACTTGGATCCATCATTGTTACATGCATATGTGGTGGGTATAGATCTGCTGAATAAAACTTCAGAATTTGCTACATACATGAAGAATGATAAGTCTTCAAAATTCAAACTGCACCTGTCATATTTTATTTTTTAAACAAAACTGTGGCAAACATCAAATGACAGACAATTTGAAGCTCAAAATTTTCTCAAACACTCAATCTTTACAACCTTGAATAATGATGTTTAGAATGACATAAATTTTATTTCAGATCCTTGTACTGGTGTTAAATGCCACGAGTACGGAGAGTGTATTAGTGGTCGATGCTATTGTATCAAAGGATTCGAAGGTGATGGATATTATGACTGTAGACAAACAATTAATGGTAAGAATATTCTGCATGCAAGTCAGATGTAAGTGAATCTGATTGTGCACGTTTAAGCACGTAATACGAATGTACAACTACACGTAATTACTCTGTCTGCATGTTATACAAATCACCAAGAAAAAATACTTCTCATTATTTTTAAAAGATAGTAATGAAGATAGCCTTCCGGCAAACGTAAAAAAGAGAAATGAAAAGTGGGCAACTGGACAGAAAAATCGATATCTGTACATGTTCTGACATTATTGTTCAACCACGACGTTCCTCACAATTTGAAACGGTCTCCTAACAGGAAGTCAGCAAGAAAAACCCCACAAGAATAGAATGATGAAAGCAGACGTAACAGGCGATAGAATAAACAGTGGGATTAAGGGAAAAAACAGGAGAATTTCCTTTCAATAAATAAGAAACCGAAACGACCAACCTATTCTTCAACAAATAAATGACACTCAAAAGTTACGCGTTAAATCCGAAATGCAAACCTATCTGATGTATGGTACTGTATTTATACACAATAATAAACAATGAATTATAAACCTCTCATTATGGAGTGTCTGTGGGCTTATCACTGTCGAAAGCATCTTACAGGAAGTTCAGAAGTAAAGCTGTATCCAAAGCAAACCAAGGGTAAACATGCTAAACGTGCGGATGCCTATGATAAGGTAAAAGAAAAGAGGTAAACAAATGTTTGGGACAAAATAAGTCCTGAAGGAACAACCAACTGAGCCCAACATAACTCCAAACCGGGGAAGATGCAAATATCTGAAGATGTTAAATGAGGAACAAACTATGATTATAGTAGGAATGAACAATCGAAAATGTGAATTACACTGAGAAAGAAAATAAATCACACTACTTAGTATTAGTAAGTACCACAAAGCTCTGTGCATAAAATGGTCAAAGTAGAAACTTGAGATAGAAGGAAATCTGAACGCACCGTGACCCTGAAGAATGAAAACATTTGAAACAGTCCAGTCAAGCCTGAGCAGTATCGCACACAATCTCGATTGATATTCATACCCCACACGCGAAAATAGAACTTCAAACTGAGAGTCATTGGTTTCAGTAATTGGTATCATATTTTGATGCAATCACTTTCAATCATTTTCAGCTGGTTTCACATCAGTTAACATTTTGCTTTGAAGTCAAAAATGAACAGATTCTTCGTAAGATATATTTCCACCAAACTGGTAGAGAGAGGCTCACAACTTCATCAACTGAATTACCTTCTTCACTTGACTCTTTGCACAGTGGCCACATTATGAAATTCGATCTAGAGGCTTAGATCAATGCTAAGCATTAGGTATAAGACAGCTGAATCGATCAAGCATTTCTGACCAATTCTTATCATTGACGTAGTTTTAGAGAAGGTCAGCTGTGGTATAAATGGGCTGACTGTCAAGCCTCTGAGTTCAGCACTAAGTGATACAAGTTAAATTTATCAAAGGAACTTAATTTTCCTCACAGTTTCAGATATGTCTGACTTTTGAGTACCAGAAAGGAACTTAACCTAGGCACATTAGTCATGGATTTCGCGGACTGAATGCCGATACTCAACAAGAAAATTACCTAACGCTACACACTTTGTATCTACACTGGCCACAAGGTGATTCTATAGCATGTGAGTGATGCTCTAAAGGCAACAATGTTCAACTGCCCAAAAATTTCCGGAATTCTCAACTACAGTCTCAGTCAAAACATTTCGGGTCATATTATTTCTCCTAACTTATCACACACTTTGATGAGAACAACTTAGAGATAATGCTCAGTATATTATACCCATTTCTTACCAACATTGCATGCACCTTTGCAATGAAAACTAAGTCAGATAATTGGTCTTGACAAGAATTAGTTGAATCCTACTACTTCCTTGGGAATGATTTAAAGCACAATTGATATTTGAACCAATATATCCGAACCTAATACCCAATTTTCGAGAAGGGATTCGTAACCTTACAATTACTAGCACCGCAAATGGCTGGTGTAAGCAAGTAAACAAGTAAATCGTAAACAGATGCCAAATATTTTAGTGACAGCAATGTCCTACTCTTTATGACCTGCTTTCACTGTTACTCAGATCCTGTCACTTATAATCGTTTTTGATTGATCAAATCACGTTGATACCATGCAACTCATCCTTGATAAAGTGTAAATCGGGATGCCTTTCCATTTTTCTCGCAGTTGTCTTTTTTATAAGTCTCTTTAACAGACGATATGAACTGGATGTATTGTGCAATTATTGGTTTCTTAATTCATACACCCACGACTAAGTACAACAATTTAAGACACTAACCTTGGCAAATGTCCTCTTAAGTATTACATTTGTGTCTCACTGTCATCATACCACACACCTCAATACCACTAACAAATTCTTCCAGAGGTATATCTGAAGTGTCTACACTTTCGCAGTTTGCAGTTTGGAATTTGAAGTTAAACAACTCAAACCACATACGTCCAATAGGTTGCCAACTCCATACATTACATCAAAACCAATTATACCATCTAACTGTATTAAAACTTGAAAAAATAAAACACACCAGTTTATTCAAAGTAGCAAAGTTGTCTTGGCATACATTACGATGCTTCAAGCATTAAAAGATAAGAAAGAGTTGAATAACTGAAGACTGATAAATAACTACAATCTCAATACACCATCCACTGAAACGTAAATGAGACTGTTGTAAAAATAGTTTCAGCTGATGAGTTTTTCATTGTAATTGCATGTAATCGTTTGTGCTTCCAATGTTAATGGATAAGTTATTTGCAATAATTTAGTACTACAGTCTTCAGAATCAAACCACTTTATTAAAAAATTGTATGAGATCTTCCTTTGAACACTTACCAACTACTAATATAAGATTATGTACAATTTCTTTAGAAGCGAAAAATGCATTCATTAGACCTAGACATTCTACCTTGTAAAAGTCATATAATATTTGAACGGTTTAGCTTCTCAATATTATTTTCATACATAAGCTTGACTAAATTGCTTTTCTCTTGCCTTCAGACCCATGTTCAACTGTTCGATGCCATTTTATGGTTATTGTCAAGATGGGCGTTGTTTTTGTTCTAGTGGTTTTGAAGGTGATGGATATTATGATTGCCATCCGGTTAATGACGGTGAGATAGGCAACTTTTCGTCAAAGAATTGATGAATCTAACTTTACTAATAAACATAGCATGAGTATACTAGTTTATATTACATTTTACACATAGAAACCGTGCAAAAATGTAACATATTTCAGAACTGAATGTCGTCTGTGTGAGTTGCATGGGTTAGACTTGTAATCCTTTTTACTCATCACTCATCATCATTTTTATCCGTTCATAGATGTAGTGAAATAAATTCCTCTTTTCCACTTAGAAGTAGTACAGCATGCTTAGTGAAGACGTATCGGTAAGTGATCAAGGCAATCGGGTTGGAAGGATAAACAACAGATTGCATGACGCTGCATGAAAACAGAGTTTTACACAGTTCTTAAGCATAACAGAATATGTTTACGTTGTTTATAGATGCTTGTTCAGGGGTACAATGTCATTCAAAAGCTGAATGCCAAAATGGCCATTGTCGCTGCCTGAATGGCTATGAGGGGGATGGTTTCAGTTATTGCTATGCAATGCAAGACGGTAAGAATAGTAATAACGGCTATATGAAATTTCGCTTTAATTTTGTTATTACAAAGGCAGTTTATTGTGTTAATCAGATAGTATAAAACAAGTATTATTAACAGGCTTTCTGTTTATATGAGGATAATGGCAAATTTCGATGCGAAAAATCCATACCTTAGTCAATCTTCAACAGATAACCTCATTACACGTTTTGTTCATGATGCTTGCAAACTTCTATAAGGTACAGGATTAATTTAGCGTACAGTTACAGCTTATACAGTTTAATAAAACAAAAGAGGATATCATCACTCCATCTCCGCAACTAAGTTATCATTTTTCACCTTTGTAGATTGTTCCGCGCAAGTTAGAGTTTTATGGTCACCTTGACTCCTACATACTAACGAGCTCAATGCTGTTTGTTGGTAAATCTGTAGTGTTAACACATCGTGTCATAATCAACTAAGGGTGTAATTGATTCCCTCACTGCCATAACAGACACTTATTGTTTGATCATTCCATCTCTAATGTAATTTTATTCTCCTCTTTTGAGTACTATTTTAAGAAATAAAAAATGACTAAGAATGATACCATGGACTAGCAGACTGCTCAACAACTAGCCATTGATTAAGTTTATCAGACTGGAAGCTTACCCTCAATTAGTGTTAAAATACACAGATTTTCAAAACACCAACACTAATACCTGATCTCATATGTTCTACAAGTAGAACACAGTACTGCTGACTGTGATAAAATTCAATCTGATCACTTTTACCTTTATTTGTTCACAATATTATATACCATAAAAATAAAATGACTGCTTTAGCTATTTTCAGTATAGAATACAACGAAACCACCTAGACTGTTAGGATTTCTAGTGGGTAGGTCTTTAATTATTTGCAACAGAATTTATGTAGTATGATTATTTCCTTTCAGATCCATGTGCCAACGTAAAATGTCACGAGAATGCTGAGTGTATTCGCGGTGAATGCCGTTGTCTAAGTGGCTATCAAGGAGATGGAAAACGTTATTGTGATCCTGTTCAACAGGGTAGGAGCATGTAAATGACTTAATCGCCCAACTTTTTATTGCATGCTGGCTGTATAAAAAGTGTATAAAGGTGAAAGTGATTTATTAGCGTGAAAATTTTCATCTGAACCGCCATTCTTTTTACTTTGTTCAATATCAAATCCGGTAAAGTTGTTTTACTCTGAAAATATTTTTCTTTTTGCATTACTGAGCTTAATATTAAAGTTTTGAGTTATATATTTCCAGTGGACCTTATTGTTATTAGGACTGATTTTTTCAAACTATGACTTAAAGAGTCATGTCATTTTACACGGACCCTATTCAAGCTTTGGTCGAATAGTTTCATAAATATTAGGCCCTAGTGAAAAGCGCATTTTAACAAATAATATCCATATTTTGCATAAAAGTATGGCTCCAGCTTCTTCAGGGAAATAATAAGAAGGTAAGACCATGCTTTCGTGTGAACTATGCAAGTTATTTATGGAAAACTTCGAGATTCACACAAATCTAACTCATGGTCATGTTATTGTTACTAAATATATCTTGTGACACTAATTTTTTCAAAACGTTTTCACTACATTAACTAGTCTAGAATGGTTTCTTGACCAGCCATAAGTTGATGGATAATCTAGGGTGTATACTGGATAAATTTAATTGTTATCTCCATCTCTACTGAAAATTTACACTTGTTGTTCACTTGAATCCTACGAAACCAAGTCTAGTTAGTGTTTCGTTAAAAACGGGTATTTTTAAACGTAACTGAAACCTTAATGGGTGGCATAGAGCCTGAATGCACACATGTGATAACTTTTTATGTAGATTATCAGTTTCTTCAAATAACTGGTTATTCATAGAAACTCATTTTCTAAATAACAATCTGTTTTTTTCACCTCACAAACTACTGACTAAACTTTTTTAAGACTAACTGAATTAGAGTAGTAGAAATTCCTAAATGTCCACGAAACTAAAATTTGATGATCAGTGAAAGATCTCTACTAATTAATATGATCTGAGTATACAAATAAACTTTCGTCTTACTAATTGAGCAATTTCTATGAAATCTTTAGCAATTTTATTGATAATGTGTACGGTAAATATTAATTTGTTCATGATCAACTTGAAAAGGCTTAATATTAGTCCAATGTTTGGTAGATATTTGGTTGAGTTTCGTAAAATCCCAGTTAACAAACATTGTACAGCAAAGCAAATCAAAATATTAACACTGGTTCAGTGTTTAAGCTTAAATTATGTATCTTTCATTGTTCAATTTTCCAATGATTAACACCAGCAGTGAAACTTAATGAATAAAGTGAAATTTACATTGAATAAACAACATACTCAAAGTAAAATGTTAGTAAAACTACATTTTTGGAATAACCAAGAAAAGTGTATTAATAAACGTGTGGTTGTTAGAAAAAAAGGAAATACTTCAAATGCATTGCTAACAGATTTTTTAACACACTTATTTTCTACTAGATTTATGTCATAATGTACAATGTCATGAGTATGCTGATTGTCATAACGGTAAATGTCAGTGTATTCAGGGTTTCATTGGAGATGGTTATTGGGATTGTAAGTGGGGTAAGTATCTCGAATGAAAAAGTATTTAAAAAGTTAAATTAAAAAGAAAAGTGATAATAATGCTTAATATATTATATGTAGAGAAATATAGCTACACTACTAATAACAATCTTCATACATAAATATATATCCAGATCAATTTCTTCTGCTACTAAGTCATATTATATTATATGTCACTATTATACTGAAAGAAATGCTTGAATTCACTAATTTCCCGTGAGTATATTAATCGCTGTAACAAAAACCTACTGCATGACAAGTTAATATTTCCAGTGTTTAAAATTAGAATACTAAAATAATAAAAATGCCAAAAGTCGAACACAATTACTTTATCAATGCAAGACGATGATTGTATACTCATTCACATACTTATCTATGAAACATGTCTTCTGCGTAACAGCTTACGACAATTTCACACTCTGTAGAATGAAATAAGCCGAGTAGATCTGTGACACAGTGGTTGAAGATCTTGTGATGATTAAGCTTTCGATTGAATTCATTAACCGACTATTCGTTCCCTTTTATTTGTAAACTCATATCACACATACTCAGTCACCATCAAAGGTAAAGCATTTACTTGTCGAATTAACATTGTAGTCTATCTTCAACGGCCTTTCCATTGATAAAGATAAATATCTGTATATGTTTTGTAAGACGTATAATCATTGCTTTGTATCGTTTGCATGCATCCACTTAGGTATGATCCTACAAAGCAAAGATATACCCTTATACAACCTAATCTCAGTAGTCAAATCGGTTTGCCGTTTAAGCTACCATTATACAGTGATGAAAAGTTATAATGACTGGTGATTAGAGGTTAATCACGTTTAAGCTGTCTAGCAGCAAGTGCTGATCAAACTTCATCCATCATTTTACAATGTAGCCATAAAGTTAGGAGAATCAATATTATAGTGCACTTTGATAAATATAAGTTGTTTGGAGGCAGTTGGCGAGAGACCCTCATTAACCTGAATTTCATGCTTTCTGACACTCTTCAACAAATTGTACTGCAACGTCATGGGGAATGATTCCTCCTATGAGATTCTGACTACTGTCACCTTTTGCTGTGGTCAATGATCTACTAATCAAATATCCCCTTCTATTGGAGATTAGTGTAGACAAAGTTATACGATGGATAGTTGAAATAACAGTAAGATAGGAAACTAAAAATGATCTGTATGGAATACCCCGACAAACTTCTGGCTACAATGAAAACAAATGTACCAGAGGTTACTATAATTCAACAACGTTTTATGTTATAATGCTTGCTTTATTTATTTTTGATATGAGATCAAATTGAATCAAGCGGGTCACATGTAATTTGTTGATCTAAAAACTTGGTGAATAAACAGTGAATCGTTCATCAACACCAAAATTGACCTACTTCAAACTTCCATGTTAGACACTGTTACTCAAAGTGACTTGTAAACTAGTGTATAACTTGCTAAATAAGTTCCAAGAATAGTCTTTTACAAACATTTCTACTGCAGTATCTGATTGAGAGGATTCATTTGAAATTGAAAAGGCAAAGTAAACTTAATAATCTTATACGAAGTAGGGGGAAGTAAGTTTCTGCTCTTATCAGAAAATTTGTACATTTTAATAGACATTAGTGCTCTATAGACAAAGCAAACTCTGTGTGATATGTAATCCTTCCATATATGAGTGTCTCTGAAAGTCACTAACCAAGTGTCAATAATTTACTAAATAATTAGGTTCGTACTGGTCTTTCACATTTATAGTATTTATGTATATTAGATGTAGCTAATAAAGCATTTTGGAATCCAACAGCTTTCTGAATCATTTAGTCAAGCTTGAATACTACGTTGAGAAAGTGGTTACCATTTAGGTGACTGATGACTGCTGATGTGCTGAGGCATACTCATCAATAATTGCAATGAATCTGCTTGTTGAGCTTATCAACATAGATTTGGAAAGCTAGAACACTCTTCCTCACTACAAACAGACATAAGATAAACATTTGGTATTTAATCTTCAGTAAGTACCGAAAAGCCAAAAAATACACAATGAGAAGATTCAATGAATCTGGATTCCGTTCCAGTTGATCAATGCTAACGTGCTGACCATGGAACCTGAAGGTCATGGGCTTCGCTCCTGGTGGGGTCATGGGTGCGCACTGGTGAGCAGCCTCACACTAGGACGAAACAGCTGTCCAGTGCCCCCAGGTTTTCAACGTCCCTCCATTTGATGTCAGCATATGATGAATACCAACTTAGATAATATTCTTTGTTACTATATTCGATATATTTATTTTACATTGCACACAATGATACAGTAATAGTTACAAGGTAAAATTTTGAACATTATTCACTACTCATAATCACAACAAGGTGATAAGATGTATTCCTTGTTTTGTTCTTGTAGTTCCATTGCCCTTCATTCTTTGATTATATTGTTAGCATAATTTTCAAATTATCTGCGGTTGGCATTGCGTTGTTCTTATCATATTCCTTTAGTGTCAGCAGTAATACTGTATCACTGCGTATCATATCAAATAAAGATACTAGGTGTTTAAATACGCTCTATCGTAACGCCCATACTCTACTCTTATATTAATAGCATTCTCTGATTGGTTATTATTTGCAAGTACTAAGGTAATCAAATTGGTGATAATTCTGTCCATCTTGGAAAAAAGTCTTTGGGAATATGTTCAACAATAGGGATAATTTCCTTCTCTCAGTCTTTCTTAAATAGTCGATTTCATGAGGACAAAATTGAAGGTGACAAGAGTTAAGAGTTTATTTACCTTTGACTGACTTAGTGGGCAAGCTGTATCCCGAAGTGAAATCAGTCTAACTGCAGGAGATCCCCTTTTAGTACTTCTTTCATTCTTTTATATTTCTTTTAGAGACCAAATCACCTTTCAGTATTGGCACGATGAAAACAGGTCTTATTCTAGTAGCTGAGTTTATTCATCGTCCAATATGTTCTTTCACATCTTACATAGCAAACATTTTAGGATATCTCTTCTTCCTAAGAGTATTATTCACAAAGTCTTCGTCCAGTTTTTCCTGTAAGCATCAGTCTATGAAACTAAACCCTTCTTCAATGTCTTACTTCATTTTAAAATTCAGAAAATTAAGGGTAGAAGAAGTCTTACCGGAAAAAAGAAACCCAAGACTTGGATTCGAACGTGATACTCAAAACCCTTTTGAACGTTTATGTTAAGCGTCCTTAAAAAAATTTTTCAGTCCAATACAGGTTTCGATATTCGGCTGCATCAGTAACAAACAATGTGTAGATAGCGCTTGGTTACTTTATCGAAAAACTTTGTTGTATGTTACCATAAATAACAAACACATGATTAATATACCTATGGTAATATATTGTTTCCTTGATCAAAGAATCCAGACATACTATTTAAACTGAGACTCAAAGACATCAAACAGGAGAGTTTTTAGTGATAGCTGTTTGGTCGG